GACGAGCACCTGATTCCACCGTGCCCTGACACAATACGTGTCTGCTACGTTTTTTGTTTCGTTGTTTTGCTTCTTGATCTTTCCTTTTTATATTTTTAATTTGAAGAGATGGTCTCCATACAGGGTAAACTGAACTTTTAAAAAAAATGACTTTTGTATGAATGAGGAGATTTCAAGATGATGCCACAAAAGCTGGGTTAGATCCCGAGTGAAGTGCTAGCTTTGACTAAAATTCTTATCTCCGACTTTCGGATGTTTTTGTCACAGCTGTTAAGGCTGTTGAAAAATCTCCTCAAATTTTAACGATTAGTGCCTGAGCTTCGCAAAATTCCAGTTTCTTTTTTGTGCTAACACGTTTGCGCAAATGGAATTCAGTGATTCCAAAGTGCTTTACAACAAACCGGGAAAATAGCTAAATCCCACAAGATAGCACACAGCTCGCCATAATGGTCAGAATACTTCTTCAATGGTATGTTTCCCAATAGCTTTCTCCTAAACATGACAGAGGTATTGGAATCGGGAGTCATTTCTTTTATAACAGAAAATGGAGTTTGTCTCATTTTCCTGAAACTGTAGTGAAATTAAAACATATTTCAAAGCACTGAGGAAAGCACAGCTGTACTTGCACCAGATGGTTACGAGAGAGGGTGATAAGGGGAAACAAAACGAGCTATAACATGTGACTAAAAAGCATTGACTATTCATTAATCACACCATGAACAACTCAAAGGCATTTTTAAGGAGGACTAGGCCGTGTGCCCACCAAAGTTTGGAAGGAACTTTTTTTTTTTAAATTGGAAGGGGGCATTTCGCTCTCATTGTCTCCGGCACGCGTGTCCACTGTCGATCGCCCGACTCATCGCCTGAGAACAAACGCATCTGTTTTTGAGGCTACAAGCCGGGTGCGATCGGCTAGAGCCACAATAGCCCATTTGCGCCCTCAGTCTGGCTAGCAAACCGCCACGACCCGACCAGATCCCCGAACGGTCACACCGTATAATGTGCAAGTTTCTATGACCACACCGTCAGTTCTCGGTCTTCGGTACAAATAGTCAAGAACCCATTGATCGCAAGCCTAGATTGAAATTTTGAATAAATTGTTTTACAGTTGTAAAGCTGTTAATATGCGTTTAAACCATGTGGGTAGGGTGGAGACTTTGCTTTGAAGTGCTGATTACGATTATGATATTGGATTTGCATAATCATTTCAAAGCTCTAGCACCATCCAAAATGCTGTATGCAACTGCAGCATTCAACCCTTCCTGTCTTGTGTCGGGAGATACATCCAAACTAAATTCTCACTGATTGCCGAAGAAAAAAAGAACCGGTGATCGATGTCACCCAGCGACTCCCTGAGAGAGGCGCGACATACGGTCGTTCCGATTGTTGTTTGGTGGACACTTTTTTTGGGTAAGTGTTTTACGGCGCTCGCAACTGCATAAAGTCATAGGTGCACGCTGGACACATTTTCAGTATGGTAGGAATTTTGAATTTCTCTGCAGAAAGATTAGGGAGCCAA